TAACATATAAAGTGGCTGTCTATATTGGTTCCATGAACAACAACTTTTATTCCGAATTTATTTCTATTAAACGTGTTCTTATCACAGATGTTTCTTAAGTCTGATATATTGTTCAATATTTTAGAATTTGAACAAAGATTTGAGTAGAATAACATGAGTCTATTATATTTCATTTGAAGACAAAGTAACTGGCAACTAAACTGTTTCCTGTAAGTAATTTAAACCCATTATGTAACTATGACTTATAACACAACAGTTTATAAGCAGTTGACGCTAACAAAACGAAATAAAATGGATTCATCTTATTCTACTCAAATCTTTGTTCTTACTCTCTCCAAGGTGATAAAGGGAAATATGTGTGTGAAACTTTTGGAGTTAATTATAATTTAGCAAATTTTCCAGTTTACGTCATAACACTATAACTTTTTCACTAATGGGCTTCATAAATTAAACGTTTACAGTTCCCTTCCTGGAAGCAATAACAGAAACTCTTGATAAGTCCATAGATTCGAAGTATTTCTATATATAATACGACAAGCGCCGAAACACAAAAACAGTATAGGTTACTTGGCACTTATATACCGGACAGAGTCTGGAAAATAACAGTTGTGCTATTGTTCAACACTCTTTTCTGGTGTTTATCTTCGAATTATCTAACTAACATGCTTTTGGGTATATCTTATTTAATCTAACTCAACAATCATTCTTGGACCAATGGAAAATTATGTAGCTGAACAAAATGATTGGGTTTATTATTGTGATCAACAAGTTGGTTAGATCAAAGTTATTATAAATTCAATAATTTGCTTTTACTTGTACACGGATTACAGAATAACAATTGATAATGAGTTATATGTTTTATTGATAAATGACTTTGGCGAACATTGGTGAACAATGTGAAAATGCTTTTGGCCTTCTAAAACTACTAATCCTTAAATTCTCCTTTTAAACATTAAAAAACACACTCAACGATTGCGACCATAGTGTTTAGGTGAGATATTTGGCTGTTACCCTACACTCAGTTGGTGGGAAATGGTAATGTAAAATGATATGATGGGAGTGTGAATGTTTATACGTACAGTGAATCGGTCATATCATCAACATCAAACATCAATTGGAAGTTTCAAACTACCAATACAATAGCAATACTAAATTTGCACAGATTTGATTACTGTAGAATAGACAGAAAGACTATGAAGGATCTATCCATTATAAAACTACCATACACGACATTTCTTCAAACAAATAACAAATAAATGTGATGAATAATATTGTTTTATAATTAACTACAAAAGCATACTTACAAATGAACCCCATACACTATTAATACCATTCGGTATAATTCATTAGTAAAAGTCAAGATGAAATGATTAGAATAAAACTGAATTTCCGAATCACCAATCATTTTGACATTATTGGCGAACTATGCTTTCAAACTAATTTTTATATATTCATATCAAATGCGTAACTTTTGTTTATTTTTTATTGCAATATAACTAACAACTGTGTGATGAAGTTGACAAAAGATACTCTAGATATGAAATGTACCAACAATTGCATATTCTGTAATTTTTTTACAGATTTCAGAGAGCTTGTTTATCTTACAAAAATTCGACGTGTAATATCTTTATGTCGCCAACCAATATGAAAAAACATATTTCCAAAATGGAATAAAATACAAGGTAGATAGCTGGACATTCTTTGAAATAAACTTGAGGCTAAAGGTTACGTAAGCAAGCAATATTGGCTCAGATAATAAAGTACACTAGCTTATATTGTTGTTTTCTTAGTGGAACAACATCAAAAACGATTTAAAATGCAGCACCTACATGGAGTTTGAATTACTAGAAAACTAAGTTACTTCTAATACGGACTGAAAATATTTCTATCACTAAATAAATATAAACCTTCAGGTAATATTTTAGATTGATTAATTACATCTTTTTATAGTTAATACCCATCAAATTGTTTAACTGCTTACCACTCAATGATTAATTTGTTTCAATATCTCAGTCCCTAAATATGATACACAGTGACGCATGCTAAACTTACGCGTAGAATATTACCTCCTACATGATAGAAGATAAATCTTGTTGACTAGTACCAACTAGTACAGCATAAAAATCCAGCTGTTTCAAGCTAAGTTACATATAACAAAATGAACTGCATTATTGACTGTATTGCAAAGTACGACATGACTCACCAAGTGATATATCATAAAATTGAATGAATCAGTCACTAATTTATCGAAAATTGTATGCTTCGTCAATTTTTAATAAAATGTTTTCTAAATTTCCTAAAAGATTCAACCTTCATTTTATAAAATAACCTAGTCTCATACTTTCCGCGATTCTACAATTTCTAAAGGTGTAACTTAAGAGCTATTTATAAAAATTCATAATAAAATTGGATATATCCATTACAATTCCTTATTTTTTGTAAATAATTAAGATAAAACAAATTAATGACAATTTAATGGATCAAGATTTGCACGAATTGCGTATATCGTGATAGATCACCTTCATAGATATGATTGATATGGCTGAGCGATAATTACTTAAGAAAAACTAAATTACTAATATGAAACCCCAAATCGAAAAACAGAATAAGTAACTAATGAAAGAAGTTATTCTATGTGACAAAAAACACATTTTAATAGAAAATATTCAAAATAAAACTAAAAGTAGTTAAAATTCATCCAATCTTTAAATGACTGTAAGGTTTGAATTTACGCAAGTCATTCACCAACTATTGAAACTGGAACGTGACTATCAGGGTTTATTCTTGACATCCAAACCAGACATTTATTTCTGCAATCTATCTGAATTAAATTGAAATTTATTTATTTCACAATTTTATTTTGAAAGATACTCAACACTCAACTTACTCAAGTTTGCCATTATGATCTCCCTCTCTTGCTTTGTTAATCTGATTTAAAAAATATATTTCGTTTGTTCTACTAATCTGACATCTTGTTTCAATTACTTCAGCGTCAGTTGAAATACACGAAAATCATGTAATATCGGTCAAGTAAATGAGAATAAATTCTATACTGACTTTATTATTATTTTCTTCCTCTGTTTCTCTAATCAGATATAATTTTTGATTAAAAATAACGAAATCAAACAAGAACTTATGATACAAACACATAGTGTTCAAAATGCTAAGACGAAGAATATTCACGTTATTCACATACCCTCTATGTAAAAAGGTTGATCTTAATCTGTGATAATTTCATTTAACCAGGTTGAACTCTTTTTTTCCCCTTAAACACAAAATTAGTGAAATGAAATTTTAAAAAGTGTAGGTTTTCACCAATACTTTACAAAAAAATTATGTTGAAATATGAATAAATAGTTTGGCAGAAATCGAGTACTGAGTGTGCAGAAGACACACTCCGTGAAAATTAAAATTAGGTAATTACAAAAAGCTTAAACTTCAGAAAAATAATAAAAACTATCTAAAAAACATTTCATATTAAACAACCAAATCACAGTAATAGCTTGTGTAATAATGCTTGTTGTATGTATAGGGTCATGGGATCAAAGATAAATGAATCTGATCCGACATAGTAGCTCAGACAGAAAGTCCAAGTCGGATGGATAATAAAGCTCTCTTTTCTATTAAGGGCTATTTCGAGTTTTATTGTAACATAGCGGTATGGTTAAATTACAGTACTAATCCATGATATTTCATTTGAAATATTATCTAGCAGTAAATCGTTTCAGTTTATTGCATTTTTAATTGTATTCCTTGGAAAATTATTAAATTGTAAGACTTTAATTATATGTTTCAGTGGCTCTTTCTTATCCTCTACAGATGTAATGATCTTGTTTGCTCTTCTAAAGGAATTTAGGGCTAGAGAGATTTTTGAACTGAATGGACGTGCTAAATCGAAGTCGATATAACGATTTTAGTGTGCTGGTTTTCAGTAGATAGTTATATTTAAAGCTACACTCAGATTTCTTTTAAACTAAGCAGTCTAAAAATGATAGCTCACTGTGTTCATTTTCTCCCTCGAAATCTATTGAGCAGTTTAGGAAAAGTTCGTAGGAGAGTCTTCGTCATGACTACAAAAGTATCATCCAACTATCTGAGCCAGATTCGCAGTTGAATATCATCGGTGAAAATATTTGATTCTATATGTTGCACAAATGGGTTGGCTACAACGAGCGACAAGCATGATCTCATTGCCAACAACAACAGGTTTAAAGACAGCAAGAGGAAAAGTATGAAAACATTTTCCTTAGTACGTGGTTAGGTAAGAATATGCAAGTCAAACCACAGACGTTTTATTGTTACTCCTGTCTTTAAACGCCCAAAATCCTCACTGATGGATCATGGTTAGTCCGAAGTTCATTTTTTTCCTGTTTCTATTGAGTGTGGTAATATTCAAGATCTATTCTTAAGATTCTTATGGTTAACTGAAAATTTAGGAACATGTTTCAAACACTGTTTGTGCCTCTTCAACTCCACAGTCAACAACCTGGACGGTTTCCTTCATTTACCTCATCACATTCATGACATTTAATTTCATAGACAATGTCCTATTGTTCTACCTTCGATAACCTATCCTCAACTTTAACCAAAGCCTACCTGATGACATCAGTTGCTCAGAAATGAACTCTAATATCGTACATATTTAGAATCCTTTTAATTTTCTCTAGTGTTTCTTTACTATCAAGGAGTTTCAATCATTGAACAGAATAATTTATAAATGGAAGGGTGTTATTTTGATGTATCTAAAGTTTTCAATTGTAAATGAAAAAAGGATTGAATCGTCAGCTCTTAGAATTCGTAAAATTCAAAGGGCTGCTAAGACCATGAAAGAATAAAGGACTGAACATGACTTTTCCAAAAATATTTTATTGAAGAGTAACATATTTTAAAACTGTAGGTTAAGATGATAATTAAACAAATCTGAACACAAACAACCTAGCAAGTTAAGTATTTTCTATTGTAAACGATTCTCAATTTGCTTTACCTTTGTTTGTTGATAGGTCGTGCGTTACGAATACTGCGATTAGCGAAACTCCTGAGTTTATTAAGGCTTCTTCGTCTTTCGCGTCTAGTTCGTTATATAACACAGTGGGAAGAAGTAAGTGTCGTCAGCCAAGTCCCTTTGATTTCACTACTGAACAGAATTTTGTAGATAATCAATCCCTTCTAAAATTTCCAAAGCCTTTATATTTTTTAATAAATAATCTTATAGCTAGTGCACTTTTTATAAAACTGATTAATCAAACACATTATCGTTTCCAAGATAAGGTTCTGTAAATCTTGATCAAGTTGAAGTTACTTATTCACCTGCTGACATCAGCTACAAAGCCTTAAAAACCTATGAGCACTATGTAGATGTTTTATCCTACTTGATACCCTTTAAAATTGAACACACAAGACTTCACAATAGATCAAACGTATGACTACAAAATTTAAAAGAAACCTCGATATACACAAACGGCTGAGTGTTAAACGAATAGTCTATATTTCTTAGTTACATAATGATATGTAGGTGACTATCATCCAGTACAGTAGTTGTTTCACATTTTAGATAGGTGCAAATAGTTACTGCTTTTCATCAGAACTTCAGAAATTCATTTCGAAACTAGCCACCGATATTTCCAAGATAATAATATAGAGATTTTCTTGAAGACAACCTAACACAAAATCAGATTATATTGATCCTCTCGCTGGCTCCCGATTAAAAAACTAATTTCATATTTCCTACTGCTTTAACAATGTCCTTCCTACAGCACTTTAGTACTCTTCGATCGAATTGCATCCATTTACTCCGGCATTGTACATAATCAATCTATGAAGGTAGTCGGAATTTTATTCAGCTAGCATAATAAGAGTTATTCTGTTTCGTAGAAGCAATCAAACTCATGTTTTAAACAATTCAGAATATTTATGTGCATAATTATAAGTTACTAAGTTGATAAGGAAAATCCATTACAGTTATTAAATGATTATTTGAAGTCTAAACTACGGCATTTTTACACATTAAAGTGTTTTGTATTACATGATTAATAACAACACTATCACTTCAATAGTAGCTTCTTTCATTAGCGAGTTTCAGTGAATTTAGGTAGTATAAATATATTGTTGAAATTATAGATAAATTGTATTGACAAATACCCTAATTAGAATTGAACCTTTCACTAGTGCTAATACCATAACATGTAATTTTTAGCATTAAATGTCATAGTTTTCTCACTTGATTTATCTCACTAATATTTATGGTAGCGGCAATTTATACGGGTTCTCTAAATAAAAGTCTGGAAATATGAAGAGTCTTTAAGATAGACGGGACAACAACCCCTGAAATACTCTCAGAGTTCGCTATTACTTCTACAATAATCTTTCGCACTACTTCTGAGTAATAATTCTAATATTGCTCAATAATCTCCAAACTAAACTTCAACTAATAAAAAAAGGACATGACTAGCATACTTATAAAAAATTACCATCCTCAAGAGAACGAAACACCCAATGAAAGCTCAAGTATAAGTAAACTGCGGTAAGCTTGAAAAGAGTTTATCAAAGCAAAATAACTTGTCTCTGTTGGAGTAATTAAAAAGCTCAGTCATACGTGAAATACGTTCTAAAATGCTTGTTCGGAATGATAGTAAAAGCTTTGCAATTAGTGCATCCAGTTCAAAAGGTGCAACACCACTAAAATCATTCATCTAAGCTACACATCTTATCCAACATTTCCAAACAAATTACTTAAAATTTAACTACTTTAGAATATCCCAATACACTGGTTTGTAATATTTTAAAGAAACTAACATTCTTACGAACTGAGTGTTCGAATAAAACCATTGTAATTCAGTAGCCCATAAAATGTTAACCTGTATGAGATCATTTTGATTTGTACAAAAAGTTTATGCGAGGTGTATAATCTAAAACAGTATATATTGTATCGAAGAAAAGTGGGATATGATTCAAATATGAAACCTAAACATACTCGACATATAAAAACAGTATATTTCATTTATAAAACTATAATTTGTAAGTGTTAGTTTGTACAGAAAATCTTTTGAACCAATTGTAACCTCCTCACAATGTTTCTACGAAACAATAGTTTTACATCATTTCTTCAATTTATAGTTGAAATATTCCATTCGAATAATTTGAAACTTCATTAAAACATACTAAATTAAGTGCTAATAATATGTGTGAATATATCTGTCAGTTCAAATTAGGATGCATATTTCCTGTTATCTTGAACATGTCAGTTGGGTGTACTTGCATTCCGGAGTTGATGTTTATAATGAGACTCAAATCCGATACCTAACGCTTGCAGAGTCCAACGTTATATATCTATCAAACCACTGAGTTTAGCTGACCGTTAACTTGTTCAATAAGTACAAAGGTATTATTAATGGTTTATAATTTCCCGTTGTTAACATTTGAAGCTGCGATCAGTCTCTCAGTGCTGGCTTAAACAGAGAGGTCATGGCGTATGCAAGTGACGAGTTTTAAATGGGGTTAATAGAGCGAATCAGAATCTCTCTGCCAACTACATACAAAATGTACTAAAACTTGTGACGTAACTCTAAGTTACTCAGGATTTATATATGGTAACTGAGACTGAACAATTACAATTCTTAATATCAAATACAGGAAATCATGAACCTATACTAATAAGTACCAATATGTTTCAACAGCTTAGAACTTAGTATTTTCGATAAACAGCTTCGGAAAACAAAATATCAACCTTCATCATTTTCAAATATAGTTTACTTGTAGTTTCATAAAATAAATTACTTCATGCTTGATAAATAACTGAATCTACTTACTGAGATGATTAAATATATCGTAAATATATTTCGCACCCACTTTGGCGTGCTGATAACCGTAGCCGTACATATATAATAGAAACTGAATTACTCAGCTATTCAATTAACTCCTAATGAAATATAATTTTAGTAAATTAAGTAATTTCACACAACTGCAATGCTGAAATTATATTAATCTATTTATAATTTGCATAATGATGATCAATCTACTTGGTTGGTTACCGGATTGTATATTCTTCTGGTTGCTTACAACGATATCACTTAACTGTTGGATAATTCTTTGTTCAAATAACTATTTATTTAACCACAAAAATTACTCTGTACATAAACATTGTCGTTTTAATCTATCGCAAACACCTATAAAAAGTGACATAATAATTAAACGTGATCATGAATACATTGCTTAGTCCACTCAACTTTGTTTATTAATGATGAAAGAATGATCAGATAAATTCGCAATGCACTTCTAATTAGGGGATGATGAAATAATTTGGATTGTATTTTTCAAGTTTCGCTTTCATTCCTAATGAATTAAATAAACCCATCTGTAAACCCCCATTACGTTTTTCGTAAAGCATCATGTATATTATTTTCTTACATGAAAAATATCATTTTCATATATTTTCTCATTTATTTGAGTTTATCAATATTGCAAGTAAATTTATGGGAATATGTAATCTAGTCCTAATTATGCTAATATTGGGCCATTGGAATGCATGCTTACAATTTCTTGTACCAATGTTGATGGATTTTCCAGTAGACAGTTGGGTCAGTAAAGCAAGATTACAAGTAAGTAATAAAATCAAATATTGTTGATTTGTTAACGGGAAATTACGAATTCTACAGCTTATAATAACTTTGCTTATAACACGTTGTATTCAAAAATGAAATGGTAAAAGGACACCGTGATAAAGTGCATTCATATTATCACATTTCTGGTTAAAATCAAGGATGTAGACTTCAGTGGTTCGATCACATCATTAGAGTGGAGATTCAGGTGATGAATAAGATCAGAAAGCTATCTAATGGTTTTGAGAAGTTAATGAATTTGCTTTCCTTAATATGAAGTGTATGCCTTATTGGATCGTTGAAAAACTTACAACATCTGCTTTACTTTTACCTATCTTATGGAATATCACAAAGTGTTTTCTAAATCACTAACCGCCGTAAAGTTTAAAGGACAGTTAGCATATTAGCCATAGATAAACTGCATGAAACATAACAAATTCTTGTCCCCGAGATTCGTAACCGTTGAAAATATAAATGATGTGGATAGTTAATGTGTAATTATGTTGCTAAGGATCTTTCAAATAAGGAATGTAAATAGCATGGATAAACACAAATTAGTCGATTAGTAGCCAAAACAGCATGAAAAGTATAGTCATGAAAAAGAATGAACTTGAATTTGAAAAAATAAAAGTCAGGAAATAAGGCTAGATGGCGATTATCAAACTTATTTATTCTCAAAGTAAGACATGAGTACCTATAACCACTAATCGTTAACCTTTGATTTTTTTATTTTAAAGAATGCTTATTGGTTTGAACAATATACATGGGCTTTGTTTAAAGCACTATCACACATGCTGTCTATTGGTTATGGGCGTTATCCTCCAAGTACATTGCCAGAAGCATGGATTACTATTATAAGTATGATGACAGGTGCTACATGTTACGCTCTATTTGTTGGTCATGCCGCGGCACTGATACAATCATTTGATGCATCTAAACGTAAATATCGAGAGATGGTAGGTTTCCCAGAAATTGATGAATTTCATCCTAGATATAGGTATAGCATACTATGTTAACTGTTTAACAATCCTCATCATATTAAGATGTAGCTATATGGTTGAAGAATACACTTTTCAATAAATTCTCTTCAGTCTCAGCAATTTTTTATTCAAATTATTAAACCAAAAAGTGGCCAGGCAAAACACATCATTTAAAATTATAGAATGTGAATGATATAGAATTGATAATGTATAGATGACTAATATGCAGTGTTAACTTGAATAAGTGTATAGGTTCAGTGAAATTGTGATAGTAATAATCAGAATAAATATGGGTCAAATAGGTTTACAGCAAACGCACTGTGTATGTGGGCTGCTCAGAATAGCCTGAAGAGAGAAAGTGAAATTAAATTAACCACCACTTGGCAACTGGTAATTGTTGAATTATCAAATTCTGTATCTACTTAAACTGTTTGTGTTATCCGCAGCATGTTACTATCGAAAATTATTTTCTAATATTCAGTATTTCAATCATGTATCTGACGTTTTCTGTTCAACAAACACTTCGACGATCTAAAAAAATTTAATTAGTACAATTAGTTTTCTATAAACCAAATGATACATCCTTGATGGTAGAAAAAGACTTCATTTATTACCTAAATTTTAATTATTAATAATAATATAAACACATATACACCTATTATTTTTCCTATTAAGAAATTATTTTTATCATTCATATTATTTCATATCTTACCGATTCATTTTTTTCTTATCTTACAAAATCAGCGCTTGAATATGAACGAACAATTTTTTTAGTGTAGATTTGTTTCTAAGCATTATATACGCTTTAATAATTTCGATTTTGATTATTACTTTTAGAAATCCTAACAAGACTCCTGAAGGAAATATTAGAATTAGTTAAATTTCAATTATCTCAAATATAACTCTGCACATAATGTTTTGTCATACATTTCTGCATTTTTTAATGGTTTTTCATTTTGAATAGGTGTTTAGTTAATGAAAATTCTTTATTTAAAGAATTACTAGCGAGCCTACTGACATTGTTAATTGTCCCAGCTTTAAGAAGAAAATGGATCGTTACATGTATTTGGATCGATAGTATTTAGTTAACTTACCAGAATATGTTGATTTTAGTTTTCTAAGTCTTCATATTATTCAATCGGTCAGACTGTTTTCTTCACCGTTTTAAGCTAAATATTTTCCTAGTTATGATACACTCAAACAAAAGGCTGTAATACGAACATCCTACTTTTATTGGTTACATAATTCTGTCAGTAACTCAGACTAGTTATAAAAGTCGTTAAAATATTTTATATTCAACAAATAATATATTTACCAAAACGCCCACTAGTATTTCCCTGATAAATTATTATCATGAAACCATAAAATTAGCGGAATTCATTTTCCTGAAGCACGCCATTCACTTTAGACAATCTGAGCGTAACACTTTTGTTTTCAGTTCAACTTAGTTGCAATGTAGATCAAGTAAGATATTTCTGTTACCAAAACAGTTTATTGTGATGTTTTTTTAATGTATACTTTATTAGAAAAGTTTTGGTTTGGATTTGCAGCTAAATATGTTTTTTTTTAATTTTTAAGAAAACATGAAAGATTTCGAGTCACGGAGTAAACTGAAATACTTAATAATCTAACTTTATAACTAGATTGATGAACACTTGGTTAGAACTCAGACAATGCTTAAGATCAGAAGACACAAAATTGATTGCCATTCAGTGATCGATTTCTGTAGTCAATACCGTCTTACATCTTAGCGGCTAAGATAACTTGACAATAGTGAGCACCAGTGCACCATTGTGTATTAGTAATCTGAATTTATTAGAACATTTTTCTTTAGGTTGAAGTTTTAGTTGTTACTTTTTTAGGAGAATTAGAAAATCAAAATGTTGAAAACTTGGTTCACTGTATCAGTTTGTAATATTTTAACTGATAGAGACCTTCGAAGAACATTCTAAACTGAACTATATTTGAATGTGATGGACTAATTTATAAGATTCTAATTTGAAGATAAAAATATGGTCAGGTCTCAAAATATAACATTTAATACAGTATGAAACTACATTTACTACTCTAACCACTAGTGCTTTGACAATTAGCTAGAATAGCACACTGTTCTACTTCATCATAAGAACGTAACACACTAACCAATTTTTTGGATAAAATACTCGTTATTTTATTTTCAGTCAAAATAACAAAACGGCAAATCACTCATTAGAAAAATAGAAGGCTAATATAAAGGAGAATTTCGTGACTAGAATCATTTATTTTAGAAAGTAAATTGTTGCATTTGTAGCAACAAAGCTTTATACTTTTCATAATTCATTAAAGGTTAAATCTTGGTATTGCTAAATTATTCATCTACATAAAACCAGTAATAGGAGTAGAAAGTAGGAAGGTTACCTGAATTTACCCTTCCGTGTTATTCTGCTTTTACTTTGACAATAAGTTTATATGAATTAAATTCGTATCAAAAGAATATACTATATGTGTTTCGCCATAGAATTTACCAGCAAGTGCTGTGTTTTTTAATATGAAACTCAGATCCAGTAGATCTTTAAGTGAAAAAATAACTCGGAACTTTATATACATTTGTGCAATTTTGTTCTCACTCTTCATTCATTCATTACTGATTTATTCTATACCAGATTAATTAAGATATTTATATGTCAAGACGTAATCATGATTACATAAAAATACATGAATAAGTGTAACTGATGAAACTAAAGGAAATAAATGGAAGCACCAAACTTAAATGAGTATATACTTTCGTGATTTATGAACGAAAGATATTCTTTTCAAAAACTTGTTTCTAGTTTGTACAATTTTGTATTCAAATTAATAATTCAAAAACTCGCCAGGCTTAAGGCCCTCAAACCTTGTGGATTAAAAACTTGGACTGTGTATCAAAGAAATGTATTCAAATCCCTTTCCTACCTTGATCAACTTCAAGGCCAATAAATCAGTTGTAATCTTAACCATAGATTGACCTGATTTTGCTAATGTATATGCAACTTTAGTCAAATATATTATCTTTTTATTTTTATTCACATGTCTCTGCATTAATATTATTCTTGGTTCAACATTAATTTTACTTTCCCGAGCACATGATTAATTTACTTAGCACTCACTCTACTTCATTATTTCTTATTGGATATATACAACTTTATACATAAATTAGCATTCCACTAAACATTTGATCGAATATGAAAGGACATTATCACTGGAGTCCAACACTGAATCGAAATGCCCGTCCAGTGCTTCCATGTTCTGAATGGTCATCTACCTTTAATCGGCTCATGTTTTTAATGAAATTCGACAATCTTCACAAACTTATACTGAAAACTGAATTATTACATCTCCCTCCCTGTCTAACCGATTGACACTAAACAGATTATATTATTCTTTCGGTACTCCTAAAAATAAATTTTGAGGGTTTCCATGGTGGTCTAGCTTCAACTGACTAACGATTTTAACTATATAAAATTACTAAAATCTCCACAAAACCCTCTTGTGAAATATTGTAGAAGATGATTGGTTAAAGTGTTATTGAAATGTATTCAATCTGTCCTTCATCACTCTCTTTATCCACTAAAATAATTATTTAATCGGTTATAAATAATTTCTATATGAGAACTGATCAGTTGAATTTTATGAGAAGCATTTGTTTGTGATGGGATGTGGAATTTTTATCAAATTTATGATTTGAGAATCATTTAGACAAAACTTGTCTGAAAATCGTTTCATTAGTGTTTATCGATAAATTTTCTTAAGCTACTTCACATCAATACATAATAAACTGGGGTCACAGTGTTAGTGTGATAACTATCTACTAACCCAATATTGTAGGTATACCATATAATATACGAAAACTGCAGCAAAAGAATACATATCGATCAATAAATTATTAATGTAGATATAGAAAATTATGGAGAGTATAAGATGCGAAATGAGTTGGATAGCAAATTTAATAGAACTAGTGTAATTTGTCCGTAACTATGTTTCTGTCATGATCAGTCCATCGAACTCTTAGACCAATCATTTACAAATTGTATTTATAGAACAAAATGCGAATCAATGTTTCTTCAATACGAGAAACGGTTAGAACTTTGCTTATATATAACCAATTATTAAATCTGATATTGATTAAATAAGACCAGGGAATTAACAGTTATCTTCTAGTATAAAACTATTACCGTTTCTGCATAAACACGTGCAATATTAACAATGCTGTGAATCAACCATGAGTGAAAATGAAAGAACTTTAAATTCAGTCATCACAGACCCTTGCATATTTCTGTTAAGGCTTATTTATGTGTGATAACATCAAGTTTAAAACACAGAAAGTAATCATTATCCTCTTAACCAGTGACTCTTCACATTGTTAATACTTATTACAAAATACAAATTATTAGGCAGGTCAACTTCATCTATTTTAGACTACAGGTGAAACGGATTTCGTAAGCAAGGATAAGTTGTGAACGATTATAGCGTACTGTTGATCATCCTTGGTACTTAAGTCTACACCAATATTACTATCAGTAATTTTATTATTGTGGTTTTAATAATAATCATTATTGTAACAAGTTATAAATAAATAAAAGTACAGTCTTTTGGTGGAAAGGTCGAAGTATTTAATCACTATCTCGAATTTGATTCATTTACCAAAATTTAAAATTTTGTATGTCTCAGTATGTTATTAAATTATGTGAAGTCAGTGAATCATGTCAAATGAAGAAATTTCATTCTGCCCTCAAAAGCCCTGGTACAGCCGAGAGTGGGGAGAGTCTGCTCTCCCTCTCTAAATGCTCTCACACAGCCACGCGTATACAGCCTCTCACTGCCTTCTCGTGGCATAACTATTGTTTACGAAATTGAGAGGACAAAAAGCAAATGTCTGGTGCTTTAACCGGGTTGTTGGGCATAGAAAGTCACCTAGGGGAGTTGGAAAACCCTGATTCCAAACCAATGGTGCACATGGG